CAAGCGTTTCAAAAATCAATAAATTTTCATAATAGCCACAAAACCAGATCAAAAACACAAAAAAAAATATATAAAAAATCATTATTTTAACACGGCGCACGAACTTTTTCCTCAACCTAATATTTTCAAGTTTTGAATTTTTTTGTCACGCCTTCCCGGTTTGTAGAGGACAGTTCAAAGTGTATGTTCGGAAGTTTTTTCGGGTCACTGAAATTATTTGGCTGAGAAAAAAATAATTAGTTAAAACAATATTGTTAAATTCTCGACTTACCAAATTTACCGAGCGACCAAAGACGAATTCTAAAATTCTTAAGGTATCTATATTGTAGCCCGTCAAATTTTCTGACAGATGAGGTATTGCATGAATCTTTTTGTCGCGTTGCTATTTTACAAATAAGACTTTATGCTAGTAGAGTAGGCTAAATGAACGTTAATTAGTACTAATTAGTCAATACCAGGAAGGAAAGAACAAAAATTCTTGCATATTTTCTCGTAATAAATATTCTTCACACATTTCTCTATCGATCTAGCCGAAAACCAAGCTTTTATGAGGAATGGAGAATGGATAGGAATTCTTTTAATAATAATCCCTTGTTCAAAAATTTACCAATATTTTTTTAAGTAATTAACTTTTTTCTCAGCCAAATAATGTCATTAAACCGAAAAAGCTTCAGAACATATACTTCGAAGTGTCTTCTACAAACTGGAAACATTAGAGAGAAATCTAAATGGGGGGAACCCCCCTTAAGTGAAATTTTGATGACTAAAATCTTGACAAGCTGAAACTCGCGGTTGGTCGACCATCTTGTTTTCAAGTTTTTCAACTTTTGCACCACTTTTAAAACAAAGTTTTTATGCTTAGTTTATGGGAAATATAATTCTCTATCACATGTGACCATCAAATTGTTAGCGAAATTCTGGTTAGAGGGTCGAGAGCGGCATTTTCTCGAAACTTTTGACTCTTCAAAATTCCAATTCTCCATTGGATGTAGGCTTTAAACAATCACTTCCTAAGATTAGAAACTATGTCATTTTGTTTACTTTTTATCAGGCTTTCGAATGAGATGTTGCTCGAACAGAACAGATAAAAAATAATGGCGTTATAGTCAAATTATCAGAGATGGCTACTTTTCGCAAATCGACGATGGTGCTCATTTTGTAAATTCTATAATTCAGCCAGAATAAGTCAGAAAGCTTTTTTTATTTTCTTATAACCCCGGTTTTGATAGTAGAATCCGAATACGAAATAAAAAGTATATGTCAACTTTTCACTCGTAACTTGATTTTTTGATGGGCTGGCGAAACGTCTCTTAAAATGGGATAGCTGCCAAGCTACCAAATATAAACTCAGTGTAATCAAAACCTTAGCGAGTCGTTCGTTAAAGATTTGTTCATCAGCTGAAATACAAAATGAGTTATAATACTTAGAAGACTTACTAATAACTAATGGCTATTCAAAGAATTCGAATCTACAAATATTAGTCTTCTCATTGAAAAAAGACTTTTTATGCGTTCTCGTTTCGAAAGTTAATCGAAATTAATCCTGCCACTGTAATAATCATAAGTCTGAAAAATGGCACTTCGGATCCTCGATATAAGCTTTCGAGGGGTATTTCCGGGCCCTCGTCGGATTTTGGGGACTTTCGAGCCCTCGTTGCGCCCGAGCTAGGGCTCGGAAGTCCCGAATATCTCTATTCAACGGCTCGAAATTTTTCTCGAGGGTTCGAAATCGATATCCCACAAAAGCTCATATCGAGGGTCCGAAGTGCCATTTTCCGAAGAGTCGAGCCCTCTGCGAGGACCTATTTTCGAGTACTTGCCGCACCCCTCGAGCGACTTTCTTCATCTGTATGGGTTATAGCTACTTTGACACATTTGTTGTTGAGAGGAACAGGTAGTTAGGCAAAAATGAGTAAACACACGATACTGACGTAACATTAAACAATAGAATAAAATATTTTTTGGTGCTCTTGTATAATATCTATAACACCACAGATGAAGCTCGGCTTTTTAAACTCTTGTTGTAACCGACTTACTGAATTTCTAAAACAAATTGGATCAAATGAATGATCCTAAATCTCACAATCTAAGACCACGCAATCAAATAAATTATAGAGCTTAATGTAAAACGTGCCTTATTACTATAATAATCTGTTTCGGTGCTATATGATGTTTATTTTCAAGTTTACATTCCTGTTATAGATTTATGTTAGTTTTATTTTCAGTTGTTTGACCGTTTTCTTATTATGTGCCATTGATAAAGGCTTTACCAAGCCGAAACGTTTGGCTAACAATAAATTTACGGATAATATAAGCAATTATTGAAATCTATAAACCATACTCATGAGTATTGTTCATCTGGTATTTTCATGTAGAAGAGTGACCTCAGGCAGCCAGATTTGGACTACAGGTCTACTCACAGACAAGTCCATCTCTGACTATACACAGAGAGACCAGCGAGAAAAATATTATATAAATATTTTATGCTTCTTTGCTAAATAATGCGTTCTTTATACAGTTTCATTTTTGCAAAACAAAATGGTGAATGAATATTTTCTGAGTGCTCATATAGTAACTGAGTGCTCCCTACTGTCCTGTCCTGTCGCTCGACAGAACGGAGGTCGACTGCAAGGCAGGACAGAGAAAGTTGTCCTGTGTTCGTCTCTGGTACTCTTGGACGAATTATAAGTAAGGTCGTACTCATAGTATGAGTACTTTCACTACGGCACACTGTATCACTGATCATGAATTTTCCATTTTAAAGTGAAAATAGTTAAGCTCTTGTTAGAAAACCGCATTACTTAAAGAAGGTTCTTGAAGATGTTAAAGCTAAATAGCAGGAAGTGCGGTCATGATCGGCTGAGCAATGGTATAAGAAGAAATAGTATTGCAATACATCTTTGCCATAAGTTATGTAAGTGAAACATTTTGTTTTTCTCCTGTGAAGAGGCTGTAAGAAAAAGAGTAATTAGTATTATTCTAGTTGAAAAAGAGTAATTAGGAATTTCTTACTCATGATCTTATTTTGTAGCACATAATGCTGTGATCATGATTTATGTTTTGGTTTTGCTAAACTTTTTTTCAAGAATCAAAAAGAAAAGGGAATCACTTCAACTCATTCAGAAACTTGAGATCACTGAAAAACACTACTACATTCAGTATACTGAAAGTAACGTTAAAAATATGACAGTAAGACTTATACAGGCATAATGATATTCTAATGAACTCAATCATTGCATCTTTTTTCTTGTGTACAACCGTATGTTTGTATAACAATCTGTTCTTTTAATACCAACTATGGCAAATTCATCTACTAAAGCGATTCAATGAAGAGAAAAACATGTGAAATCAATTCTGTTTTCAACAGCAATCACATCCCAATCAATTAATTATCAGGAGCATTCAAGGTCATCCAGATCTGCGCCTGATTACAAGAAACAATAGTTTTAATTATTTCCTGAGTCGATTACTGCTTCTCTTGATCCACCTACGCAAAAATGCACATTATTACCGATTTAAAAACGACTATTTTGAATGTCGCTCTGGAACAAACACTATTCGTTTCGGCGACGTTGAAAACTATCTTCAATCCAATGCCTTAAAAAGTGGTTACCGATGTCACTCTACTGTCAATTTACTGTTATGCCTCTCAATGTTCATTCGATTGATGTTGCATATCGGATCAGTAAAGAAGAAAAGTGAGACATGTTCATTAGATGCGTTTTTGCCCGTGCGATGTATTACTCAACAGAACGCATATTGCTGGAACAGTCTGTGTTATACCGCTTGAAGATATCAATAATCTACACTCGCTGCAAGCTAAATTTTCTGATGCTATAAGCGGATCCCCCACTCATCCCAGGTTAAAAATATCGTATTTTAAAGCATCGCAATTGAGGTAAGCACATCATCGAATAGTCCAAGGTATTTACTGTCTCGGATATCTCCAAACCTTTTTGCTTATTTTCAAGAAAGACCAGCTTCTCTAACAAACCAGCGTTCTCCGCTTAGAAAACGAAAGGATTGAGCCATCACCGAATTACGAACCTTTTAAAAGCACTTTAATTTGTTGGGCCATTACACCAAAGGTTACATAAGGCCATTCACTGCTAATATTAGTTCACAATGTCAGCTAGTATTTCTGCTAGATTATTGAAGATATTGACAAAAACGAACTAAAATCATCCGATCGGATTCGCTGTCTTCTGGATATCGAAAATTTGTGAGGAGGGTATACATAGTCAAAACCCGTCAACATCGACGTTGTACAGGTGTCGTACGGAGCACAGAATACAGGATCAATAAAATACGAACGGATACGTAGAAAACTCATCTTTCGCTCACTCAGAAACATTAAATTACTCTGCTCAGGGAGAGGGTGTAAAAAAGTGCGAAACATGGGTGATGTATTATACAGACACTGACATACTCGTCTTCGAACGGCATTTGATCAAACAGTAAATAATAGAACATAATTCCTGCTGCCCACACGTCCGACTTTTTATGTAAGCGTCGACTAATTCGATTATCACTATCACGTTTTAGAAACTCTGGTGAGGCGAAAAATCGAGTATGCGCCTTGTCAGCTCCAACCGTTATTGAAGATCGTCTTGTATCGAGTTTTTCAACGGTTCCAAAGTCAATAAGTTTGATACAAAAGTAGTTTCCCGCTTCGACAATGACCAAGTTTTGCGGTTTGATATCACCGTGAACAATCAACAATTTTTCCAGAAAGATCAACGTTCGCAGCACGTACATTATAATTATAGTCCCAAACACAAATTTTTCTCTGCCACTCGCTTTGCTCACTCTTTTTACCCAGAAGGTGTATAAATCACATTGAGCTAATTCCATCGCGATGTAAATACCTTCGCTCGTCGCTTTGCACCCGTAATACTCGATGACCGGATGATTCGACATTTGGACTTTTTGAGTTGCACGCAAAAAGTTCACCTCTTTTTCAATTTGGTCTTGAATACCAGTTGTGTTTGCCAAAAATTTGATGGCTACCACTTTCTCTTTGCCTCGAACTTGTGCCTTGAATATTTCACCAAAACCGCCACGATTAACAAACTGTTTAATATGGTATGTCACACCTTCAATTTCCAATGTTTTATGTTCTTCTCGTATAACACGTTCATCTGACGAATTTGATTGAAGTAAAATGAGCAGTATTTTGGCCATTTGTTCAACAAATGCTTCCTGCTGTTTTTTGTTCTCAGCTTGTTGTTCAAGCATTTGTTTCGACATTTCTTGATGCTGTTTGAGTAACGCTTCATGCTGTATTTGTAGATTTTGTATTTGAGCATTCGATTGACTCGAACCCATCTTGAGCTAAATAACGGATTGTCTGAAAGGGACAAAAACTAAAAACGATTTCTTCATCGGTCACTACAGCAACGCAGGACCTGTAAATTTAGATCTCTGATCTACTGGCTACATGACAATTGTGGACGACAAATTTTGCGAATATTGGTGAAAATTTCCCGCATTTATCAGCGATCTTCGAGCTATTCATTAAGTTTCAATCAAAGCAAATTGCATATTAAAAATATAAAAAGTTGAATATAGGAAAGAAACAAGATGAGTGGGTCAACATTTGGAACGTTCCAAAAGTCTCGATGATCGAAATAGCCAAATGAAAACTCAAACTAGAGCTATTAGCCAATACTATGTGTGAACTAGTTACCATAAAGAGAACATTGTGTGAAAGTCAAATTCTTTCTTGCTTTTGTTTTTACATACTAAATATTGCGTTTAGAACTAGTTCATAATTCATCCAGTTTTTTCAATTTTAACTGACTTTCGGATTACGGTATTCTAAGAAATAACCTTTTAGCATTTAACTGTTTAAGATGAGCTCCTCCTATTGATGAGAGTGACGAATAACAATTTCAAGGTATCACGATACATCCTTTTAGTGGTCTTCAAAGTTACAGTGTAGGAAATAAGGATTACTCCTCAAATGGATTATATTTCGGCAAAGTGAGTACAGGCTATGCCCTCTAGGACCACGATAAAGATATTTTTTAGTCGTTAGCAATGGGAACGAACGGCGAAAAAGCTACACTAAGGGTGATATTTTCTTGCCTTTAGCTTAGGATCAGTTTTTGATGCTGATTCTCAATATGACGCTCGTTTTGACTGAGACTTATCGAGCAGTTTGATCGAGCTGTTCGTTAATGCTTATCAAAATAACAACATAACTCTTATCGTCCAAGAAAACTCAGAATTGCGAACTGAGCACGCTTCTGTAATCGCAGGTCGTAGAGTATTTAAGGTATTTTTTCAATAATTAAAGAAACAAATGATAATTATGTGTGATTTTAAATAAAACAAAATTACGAATTTTCAATTTCTAAAATCATTTCGACGGCAAATGAGTTTTGTTCAACTTGTGCGTCTTTATCTCCAACATTTCCATTGAACGTTTTCTTATGAATATACGAACTTGCAATTGAACAGTTTTCACTAATTTGACGAAATGTTGTGGAATCGGATTTCATTAGAACTGTCCCCGTTCCACCGTTTTGCACATCAACCAGTATAGCATAGTTTTGTCTGATTTCGATATTAGTCGGGATTGTTGTCCATTGAGTCAATTGATTCGGATTTGTCCCTTCTTTGGCAACGATAGTGCCAGTATTATCTATGATATAAGCCACAATTTGACCAGTAGTCAGTGTAGATTTCACCTGAATTGATAAGAGTTTAATCGGATGTTTTCTCAATTTGAAGAAATATCCGCGTGGATAGTTGACGGCGTTGGCAATTTCGTCTGCTCCATCTGTGGTTAATGAAAGATTGAGCAGCACTCTATTATCGATAACGTTGCCAAATTTGTCAATCATGTACGGTTCTGTTTGAACTTTTCCTACATCTGCCATTTCTTGTTTCATGGCTCGAATTCGTTTATCAAAACCATCAATTCTGAATGTGTTTATAGTACATGGACGCATGGATTGCATAAATGCGTTCATTTCATTGAAATAATTGAGAAGATCGTTACGTACTCGCATTACTGACACGTTATCATTACTCTCTAGAATTTGCTTAGTAAATATTTCGCGAACCGAAATCTGATTTAAGGTTCCTTGGATATCATTTTGCTTCTGTCTCAGCTCGGCTACTTGTTTATTCTCACTGTCATCTAATTGATCGATCAATTGCAATTTTTTTGCTTCACACATTGTTTTCAACAGATCAAGGCTTTTGATCACATTCTGTTTTGTTTGAATATTATTCTGATGTTCAACATTCATTGCTACATTTATACCATCTTGACATTTGTTTAGTGTATTTTTAATTGTTTCTAATTGCTGAAGAGAAAGATAAAATTTTGTTCTTGTTTCATTCGCAACAT